TGGTTAGACTCTGGAGAACGCTACCAACAGAAGTCCAGTCCCAGCCCCCACATCCAGAGACTAAGATCAGCTCCATACCCAACACATTTCTGTGATTAAATATGAAAGCTATCACAGAACTGTAAACTCTGGAGGTATTTTACTACTTTCATTCTCCCTTGTTTGTTCTGATTGGCTATCCCTTTCCTGTCTGGTTCAATGTCACTTTGTTTTGCTATGTATTCTGTATTTGGTTTTGCTATGTATTTTGAATTTGGGTTTTTTCTTTTTTCCCTCTCCTCTCTTTTTCTGTTCTCCTTTTCTTTCTTGCTTCTTCTCTTTTTTTTTCACTCTCTTTCTTACTTATTTTTTTTAATGTTTAGGTTTGCTATTTTTCCTTTTCAATCTCCTTTAGACCCTTTCTCTCTTCAACTACTTCTTAAATTTAAACTTTCCAGTGAGTAAACATTGTCTCTGCCCTTTCTGACTATTCCTTCATATTCTATTTCATTCTTTCCCTCCTGTGTCCTCCAGTTTCCCAAAAGTCAGATGATCATCCTTTAATTTCCAGCCTTGTCACTGCTATATTTGACCTCACTTATCACTTTAGCCTATCTCTTAACCATCTTAAACCCCTACCCCACTGCAGAAGAGTAAAATTAACTGACTAAGGGGAAAATCACTTCATACAAGTACACAGTATATGTTTGATTTTGTTACATAACTTTGGAGTTTGCTCTTGTGGTTAGAGGTAACAAGTTATTGGTTACCATAGTTTACCAGTAGTTAAGCTCTACTTGAAACTGTTGTTATTACTAACTGTACTACTTTAGCCAGAATGTCATACATGTTATAAACAGTTTTTCTCCCCTGTATGATAACACTATGATTGTATGAGATCATAATCCTCACCAGAGCCCAATACCAAAGGATTAGGAGCTGAGCCAAATAGTAATCTTGCATCCTTTACAAATTTGGACGGTAGCATCTTCAGATAGCTATAAGAAGTCACCTACATCTAGAAGACATCCCTGAAGAACAGACATCCTGTAGGGAAACCTAAATACTAGCAATAAAGCTATATATCATAAGAAAGTGGCAAGTATCAACATAGAAAACAAAAAAAGGAGAACATAGAAAATGACAAGACACAGAAGTAAAATGCAACATGAGACCCACAGCCCACCCAGGTAATGAGCCCAGAACTCAAGGACATAGATGAAATTGGAAATCAATCACTGGAACTTTCTGAAATGACAGCAGCAGAAGTGAAAAAAAAAAGTGGAAAAGGTTATGGAGAAAATAATTTTTCAGGTACATTAAGAAATGATTATTAAAATCAAAGCTATTAGAGAAGACACAGATAAAAGAACAATTGAGCTTAAAAAAATGATGGAAACAAAAAATGCCAAGCATAGGAAAGAAATGGAATCCATGAAACAGATCCAAACAGAGATCCAAGACATTAAAACCTCCACTGAAAGTATGTGCAACAGGTTGAATGAAGGGGAGGGTAGGACTTCAGATCTTGAAGACAGAATTGCAGCTAGTGATATTGAAAGCAAGATATCTTAAAAGTAGAAGGAGACCATGAAAAATCAAACCAACAGCTACAAGATGAAGCAAAGAAGAATAACATATGCTTGACTGAGATCAATGAGAAATGTGGAGACAACACAAATGACATGAAAGAAAAACTTCACAAAAATAATGACAGAAAACTTCCCAAGTGTGGATAAAGAATTTGGCCTACAATAAATGAAGCATATAGAACTCCAAATAGTCATGACCAAAATAAAACTACACCAAGACATATAATAATCAAGATTCCAGAAATTCAGCATGAGAACAGAATATCAAAAGCTGTTAGAGAAAAGAAACAGATCACCTATAAAGGAAAGCCTATGAGAATCACAGCAGACTTCTCCACACAAACCCTCAAGTCAAGAAGAGCTTGGAGTGAAGTATTTCAAGTCCTGAAAGAAAACACCTTCCAGCCCAGATTGATGTACCCTGCAAAAATATCTTTCAAAATTAATGGAGAAATAAGATACTTCCATGACAAAGAACAGCTGAAAAGATTTACAAACACCAAACCAATGCTACAGAGAGTTCTAAAAGATACACTAGACAGAGATAAAAGTGATCACAATTTCAAAAACAGCAACAGAAAGAAACCACCAGGCAGGGTAAGCAATTAAATAGAGGCGAAAAGTAGGGAACCAACAGCAGGAAAATACCATGACCAAGGTAAGCCAATACATATCAGTCATAACCATTAATGTAAATGGCCTCAATTCACCAATCAAAAGAAACAGATTGGCAGAGTGAATCAGGACACAGGATTCAACCACATGCTGTAACAAGAAACACATTTAATGCAGAAAGAAATTCATAGACTAAAAATCAAAAGATGGGAAACAATCTTCTATGCAACAGGAACCCAGAAAAAAGCAGGAGTAGCTATTCTGTTTGCAGACAATGTGAACTTGAAATCAAGAATGATCAAAAGGGATAACAGATGTCGCTACATACTTGTTAGGGGAAAACTTCAAGAGGCAGTGATAACAATAATAAATATATGTTCACCAAATACAGGAGCACCCAACTATATAAGACAATTATTAATAGACATGAAAAATCAAATAAGCAATAACACAATTGTAGTGGGAGACCTCAATATCCCATTGTCACAAAGAGATAGATCAACCAGACAAAAAATCAGCAAAGAAATAACAGAACTGAACCAAACCTGTGAACAAATGGACTTAGTAGATGTTTTCAGACTGTTCCACACAACATCATCAGAATACACATCCTTCTCAGCTGCATATGGAAATAGACCATATATTAGCCCATAGAACATGGTTAAGTAAATGCAAAAGAACTGAAATTATCCCATGCATATTATCTGACCACAATGCCATGATATTAGAAATTAATGGCAAAAGAAACCATAAAAATTCCACAAATACATGGAAATTAAATAATACCCTCCTAAACAACCAATGAATCACAGATGAAACAAAAGAAGAAATTAAACAGTATCTACAAATAAATGAGAATGCAGATATAACATACCAGAATATATGGGATGCAGTGAAAGTAGTCCTAAAGAAATTTATTGTAGTGAATTCTCACAACAGGAAAGCAGAACAACCACAAATAAACAACCCAATATTACACCTCAGGCTTCTAGAAAAAGAAGTGTAAGACAAACCCAAAGCCCATACAAGACAGGAAATTATAAAGATCAGAGCAGAAATTAACACAATGGAAACCAAGAAAACAATACAAAGAATTAATGAATCAAAGAGTTGGCTCTTTGAAAAAATGAATACAATTGATAAACCCTGAGCCAATCTTATCAAAAAAGGAAAGAAAAGACTCAAATTCATGCATTGAGAAATGATAAGACTGAAGTCACTACAGATACTGTGTAAATTCAGAAGATCATCAATACCTACTTCAAAAATCTCTACTCTCGTAAGATGGAAAACACAGAAGAAATGGACAGATTTCTTTTTTTTTTTCTCATT